CGGAGAAGATGAAAATTTGGATTTATAGGTTCCCGCATATGCTCTACAAGATGAGACTAGTCACAGTCAAATTTGAAAAATTCATTGAGCATGCTTCTGTGGCAAACAGGCGTTTTTCTCGTGCAATTAGGAGGAAAGTAGAAAGAAAATTGAAGTGTTGTCAATCGAACTTTACTTGCCATGAAAGAAAGAAGTTAAGCACGACTTTGATATGCTCATAAATGTGTCTTAAAAACCATTCAGTCTAATAAACAGAGACTTTTAAGGAAAAATTCTTATATAGAAGATTTTTCTCTTCGAATATTGTAAGCACTCTAACTCGTCGTGGTAAAGGTTGCAAATGCTGATATTTGAACTAAGTAGAGTAGGCAAGGAGAGGAACAAATTGAGCTATAAACATTGTACCTTTAGATTAGACAACGAGTTCACTTACATGTAATTAAAAGAAAACTTATAAAAGAGAATCAAACGTGCAATATGGTCTGCCGTAAATGCATCTTCTTTCAACTTTCTCAGCACTAGAATACTCGAAAACCGTTCAGTGCATAACAAAACGTCAATTTGACAACGTTAAACGTTAACTTTCTTTAACGTTAACGTTAAAATTGACCACCGTCAAACGTTAAAATTAACGTAACGTTAATGTAACAGTCCTACTCGTTCATCTTATTTGGTACATCTATCCCTGTCCGATTTCACAGCCATTGCTTATCTGTGCCACAAATTTTCAACCATGCACGTTTACCTACCACACACGAAAACCAATCAATCATGATCTAAATTGTTTAACTCTTTTATCTTCATCAGGTTCCATCTTCACATTTTTCCCTTACAACACCATGACACTTCTCATCAATCATCCATTCACGTCCACATCCACTGGTCAGTCACACGTACTTTAACATTATATCTTCAGTTCTGTCTGTCCAACGGTTCAAGGTTATTTGAATTCATTCTCACTAAGTCATCACTGTGTAATATTTTTTTTGTTATCTCTATTTTCTCTCTCTCTCTCTCTGTGAAAAAGTAAAGTAGCTTTCAAAAGCTGAATCGTTCTGATTGTAAATGAATGAACGAATAGATAAGAATAGCGTGATGATGATTATTATTTTTCTTGTAGACGGAGTAGAACAATATATTTTGACGCGTTTCGGTGACAGTGCACCTTAATCATAAATATATTTAAATTCACGAAAATCTACAAGAAAAAACAGCTAAATGAAAATACGAGCGTTTCTTTACGACTAAATAAGCTAAAAGGAAAAAGAACACAATTAAAAAGCTACTGTAAACATTATGGTTCTTTAAAACGATTTTCAGATATTGAACTATCAATTGGTGGTTTTGAACGGTATTTTTTGATGTATTCATTTATTATAAATATTTGTTCTAATTCATCTTCAGTTAATTTTGATCTTGGTGATGATGATGATGATGATGGAGATTGTTCATTTATATCTAGAGTACCCTCAGTATTCAATAAACTTTTTATGCCAGGATGTGTTTTACTGATATTTGATCGGTTCAGATTTTTTAACACTCGATAGATACGTACGCTAGATAAATACGTCAGAAATCTCTCTCTCTTTGTTTGCACCCGTAATCCCGTGCTCACAGCTGTGCTAGGAAGTATCTTTTCCGGAAAAACAAAAAGTTCATCGAAGAATACCCTTCGCCTATTCTATTTTAGACTAAAAACTTTTAAAATTTTTTTTATATATGCGTTAGGCATAGCTTAGAAAGAAAAACAAAAAGAAAACTCATGATTATGTTCTACGATGTGTCCCATGAGTACTGGAACGGATGACGTGAGGGTATCTAAAATATGTTGTGTTTTGAGTTGACCTGATTGTTTAAGCTACCATTACTCGTTTCAACCTGGCTTAAGGGTCTCTTCAGACGGCTGTTTTCCATCTATACTCTTTCTCATTTACATGTTGTGCATTTGTATTCTTATTGAATATACTGGAAACTGTAATTGCACTGTACATGAGTGTGAGTAAGAAGAGAATGTGTCATATTTTTGAAGAAACAGAACAAAGAAAAAATTGCAACGAAAAAAGAATAAAACAAAAACACATATGATGCCATGTGTATGTATGGAACTATCATTTGAATAAATTTTGATACTAAGGATTTTACGTTCTCATATCTGGCACCATATGTATTTTTGTTTTATTCTTTTTCCGTTGCAATTTTTTCTTTGTTCTGTTTCTTCAAAAGTATGCGACATTCTCTTCTTACTCACACTCATATACAGTGCAATTACAGTTTACTCGGTATGAAATTATTGACATGTGTCGGTGCCAGTGATGCACTCATCTGTGCTAGTAGTCATATCTTCTTTCGTACATTCTTATTATCGATTGCATTCGCTCGACACAGCTGGCGGATGTATGTAGGACTCTTCATAAGTCCATTTTCACAATATCAAACCGCGTTGACTTTACCTATAGCCTCTAAATTGTTAGAATCAAATGAACGAGAAATTGATTTTACATTGATTGTAGAAATCAAAATAGTTATTACAAGTTTTGGTAGTTCTTTTCAATTGTATTTATGAACGTACTGTTATCAGTCAGAAGACTTTTAGTATGTTACTTGCTAGTAGTCTCAGTCAGAGCCCTGCAGGTTGCCAATATTTGGCAACCTATAACCTAACCTATAAAAAATTTCACAACCTAATCCTAACCTAACCATTGAAAAAAAAAATAGAACAACCTGTAACCTAACCTATAACTTTTGCAACCTAATCCTAAAAAAGGTTAGGTTAGGTTAGGATCAACCTGCAGGGCTCTGCTCTCAGTCTTGTTCCATTGATACTCAATATGTGAGTATGATCAATCAAGAGGCTTGTGAGCGATGGTCTCGCTAAATTGAAGCTAATATTAAAAACAAATTGTTGCTGAAAACCGGAATCTCCTTTTATTGGAAAAAAGCTTGAAAAAAAGAGATGAAAATGGACAAACACAAAATGAATAACAAGTGACGCTGTGTACGATACGCGATGGCGTCTAGAAGTGCTACTAAAAATGAGAAAGCACACTATTTATATATCTATGGATAAAACAGAGAACAAAGGAAAAGAACCATAGATATATATGAACGAGGGAGAAAATGAATAAATGTAGAAAACAAGGGAGAAAACGATTAAATGTAAAAAAAACAAGGAACTGGGCGAAGGAAGAATAACACTTGTTGTTGGTTGATGGGAATGATCGATCTGTTGCTCTTGGTCTTGAACGAGGGTCAAATGCTTCTGGATGAGATGAATGATTTGGTCTATTAGACCGATCTCTTGATGTTGACGTTCGACGATGAGGGACGTAGATTCGATTAAAATGTGTCTCAGTGAACCAATCATTTGTTAATCGATCCCAGCGATGAAAATCGTCCGGTTTTTCTAGAAGAAGAATCCCTACCTATAAAAGTCCGTGTAAGTCTTGTTTTCTTGTCCGTTGGTCAGTGAACATCTTGTCCGTTGGTTAGTGAACAAATGTTATATTGTGATTTCTTCTGAATTAACCTTTTAATATCCAGAGATGAATTTAACCAATACACACACACTTTATTGTAAAAAATCAACGACTATATATAGGTTTATGAACAATGCATTAGATATGGTAATGTCCGATTAAAGGAAATTTCTGAGACACAATAGGGAGAAAACTCATCATTCAGCAGAAAGGAACGAAACAGAATAGAGAAAGTTGCATATGGAAAATCCCAGAACATAGAGAATAACGCACAAAAGTATATATATGTATTTTATAAGAAAAACAGGAGAAGTGATGATATGATCTAACCGAAGGTGAAGATCATAACACCTCCCCCCTACAACAAAGATGCCCGTCCCGCGCATTGAAAAAAAAATAACAAGAAAACAATATATAACGAGTCAAGACACAATATAGACAGAGTTAAATGAAATATAACAGGAAGAAAATAGAAAAATTAATTCATGTTATTGAACGACAGATAATTGTTGTCGAAGAGTGACGTTTTCCAACCAGACTTGTGTTGCCACGCCACAATCTCGTCTTCTAATTATTGATAATGTTGAATCTATTATCAGTTAATCGTAATAAAGCATAATAACCAGGAATCAGTAAGCCGCTATACCAGTGTATGAGTTCAATCAATTATAATCAACCACACAATTTCGATTAATCAAAAGTCATACAAACAGCTGATCTTGTGAGCCACTCTTGATCAAGAGTGGCTCACAAGATCAGCTGTTTGGAAGAGTGGCTCACAAGATCAGCTGTTTGTATGACTCGCGTTATAGAATCTCGCGTTGCCACACCACCGGCTTGTTTGTTCAGACATAAGTCCAATGTTGCATTAGTCTTGGATTAAATTTTTATTGCATTACTACACCTAACTAATGAGTACCGGATCGATCAGGTTGTGTTTAATACCGTATACCAAATCCAATGGTCTATTCCATTTTTGCAGGAAGAAGGATCATTCAACCCACTGCCTATCAGTTTCGTGATCAACTAAGGTATCCCCAAAGTCCGAAACCAGTCTAAATTATTTATACCTTTTGTAAACTTTGATACTTTTAAATCATAATTTTATTCCCACAAATTATGTTTGTCTAAACGTTTCGATGCTTTGCACCTTCATCAGTAGACACGATAAATTAAAAAAAATAAAAATTTTTTAAAAAATATCAAACACGAAAAAGAATCGTATCTAGAAAAAAAGTAGAACATAAACTATAATTCTTCTAATATGTAAAAAATTAGGCTAAAACTCATGATAGAAGCCATCATTTTTTGATCACTTTTCCACCTTTCCTAGGCCTAAGATTATGAACTATAGCTCCGTCGAGCATCAGTGGTTCTGGTCTGACAAAACCTGTTCCAGAATTTTTCTTAATCCATGATTTAAATGTGGGCAACTATTGAGTGCATATTGTCTGTTTGTTATTATACCCATTATTAGCCAATGTATAGACTGATTTTAGCCTCTTGCGTCTATCTTTGTTTCGTTCTTCCTCATAGATGACGGACGATTCAAACCGAATGTTGCAATTGTCACTAGAGATGCTATGTTGAACCAATTCAGATGACTTAGTTTTATGTGGATCTACTAATGCTGTATCAACGAGAGTCTGATGTTGATTTAAACGGGTCATATGGTCTCCTGTTTCTCCCACATACCATGCACCACATTCACATGGGATACCATACACCGCACATATAGGTATTTCTGATTTTAGTTTATAAATTTGTTTTTCCTTTAGCGATACTCTTTGCTTTTGTTACCATGCTGAATAAACTCCTTAAATGTTGCGTGTATGTTTTAATGTTATGTGCTCTTAAATTCGATCTCAACCTATCTGTTATACCTTGAAGATGTGCAATCACAACTATACCATTACCTTTTGGAACATATACAACTGGAGGAAAAGCTCGGCGCATTAGTATGTCATTTTGAACGAGATATTTCTTATGATTTTTGATATTCGGCATTATGTCTTGCAATTGAAGGTCATCGTGCTGTGCCTCTTTCAGTTGCTCAAGAGTAAATGGAATAATATAGTTCTCCTGAGAAAAAAATTCTGGATCATTGTTAAGTCGATGAGGCGCATGATTAATGGTGTCGAGAGATATTGTTTTTTCTGTTGTTTGTAATGGGGTTATTTGAAGCTGACTGTCTTGTTGCTCAACGTGTTTGTACCGCAGCGACGATTGGAGAAATTTCTGGTTTTACTTCGTCATGCGTCTGAGTTGGCTTTGAAGACGTGGGAATGATGTCATCACGGTCTTCTTCTGCTTCATCGACAGGATATCTGGATAGATAATCAGGCATTGAGTTCTGAATTTCGTGAATGTGTTTGACGTCAAAATCGTACTCAGTGATTTTCAACCGCCATCTTTCACACTTTTTGTTTGTTTGCGTTTTCTTATTCAATTGAAGTAGTGGTTTGTGATCAGTCTCCCGAATGAATTTTGTTCCACTTAAATAATTATGCCATTTTTCCAAGAAACATATTAGTGCATAACTTTCTTGTTCGGTCGCGAACCAGCGCCGCTGTGTTGGAGTGAATTTCTTCGATAAATATCCCACTGGACGATCCCCGTCAGGAAAAACCCGTAGCAATACAGCGCTAGTTCCTTCGTCAGAAGCGTCAGTTTGTGTTTTGAACGGATACGCAGTGTTTGGTATTCGTAGAACGAGATCAGTTGTTAGGATCTTCTTGAATTCTTCAAATGATTTGAGCTCATCTTCGATTAACGTGATGGTGGCCTTGTGTGCTTTTCTGCCGGTTTTTGATGTAGGTACGAATTTTCTCAATGGTTCTCCAGTTAAAGAGAACTCGGAATCAACTTAGGATAATATTCCGCGGCTTTCAGGAATTTACAGAGAACAAAGGAAAAGAACCATGGATATATATGAACGAGGGAGAAAATGAATAAATGTAGAAAACAAGAGAGAAAACGATTAAATGTAAAAAAAAACAAGGAACTGGACGAAGGAAGAAATAACACATGTAGGACCTAGAGTCACACGGTTAAACATGTGACAAGATGATGCATTAATATACGCTTAGGTCATGATTACGCGTTATGTGCAAGGCCTAAGCCTGTAACAAGGCTTTATTTTGTTTTCGTTCTTTCTAGTTGTCTTCTTGTGATCAATCGACGAATGTCCGATGAGCAGTTGGCTTCAGATTTGAAGGGAGATATCAATCCGACGTTCCTTCAAGTTGATGATGACACTGACATTTCTTTTCAAAGATCTCGTACGATCTCGGAATCATCGATTGATGACCACAATAGCGAGATGATGTCTCCAGGTGCTCATAGGATTCTCGACATCCTTCGTATTAAGCGAAAGGTAAAGTAGCGAATGTTTTTTTCGCTGAAAAATTACGATCGCGGCTCGTTACAAGTAGAAGTATTCCAGGTCGAAAGCCCTTTTGCTCAAACGAATCTTTATGATTGGAGATCAGAGACCGACAATCGAACTGATAACGAACAAGTTTCATTAAATAAAGATTTGTTGTCAACATGAATATCATAGTCGATGAGAACAACTGCTAAGATCGAAGGTTTCTTCAATGGATCGAGTCAATCTCACCAATTGAGGCAATAGCAGACAAAATCTATATGTACAGTTTTGCGCGCGATAACAAAAAAGCGTTTTTTTTCAAATGTTGGCGATCCGACAATAGAGACTAATCATTTGTCTTCAAAATCAACTAAAATTCAACTTGAAAGGATGACGTTGGACTGAAACATACGTGTTTAAGCGATACGTGCCATTACAGGTCGAAAATCCTCATTTTAACGAAATTTTCGAAAACGTTTACGCTTTCAGTTCTGAATGTAAATTTTTTCAATTATAGGTGAAGGATAGAGCTTTCCATGATCTACACGATCGGCACTTCAACTTTTTTCTCACAAGTATTTACCGATTAAAATTTAAGAAAAAACTGCTTTTACCTTCGGATTTTGCGATAAAACAGGTAATACATCTTTTTGTAGAGAATTGAACAGGGAATCTTTTGATAAAAGAAACAGATTGATCGAGCAAAAGGAAGAGGAGAAAAGTTGAAAATACGAACAGCGCAGTTCATTTTGAGCCACCTGTTACTATCGAATCTGTGGATGAGAACAACTGCTGAGATCGAAGAATTCTTCAATGGATCGAGTCAGTCTCACCAATTGGAGCAATAGTTATTCTGCGGCAAAGGGTGCAGGGACGCCATGTCACGTGTCATGGCAGTCGAGCTCGGACCTCATCAAGTCCGTCTATCAATTTCTACCCTCGCTTTTTATCATTCTTATTTCTCGATATCTAGATTTGAGTCAACAATGTTCCATATCAAGTGGAAATTAAAAGTCGACTTTCAATTTCCACTTCATATGCAACCGACAATACAGTATTCGTGCCTTTGTTGTTTATTTATGAAAGAATCTTTGATTGACAGGTTGTCTTGAAGGACATGAGCCGAATCGATTCGATTTCTTTTTCGTGAGTCTTTCATTCTTAAATCTGAGTAAAACTTGGATGGAGTTCATGTATCCATGCTCGAATTAATCTTTACTGCGCATTGAAGCGGCTCTATCGTCTGATCGCACGAACATCAGTGGTCATTCGAAGAAAACGCTTCCTAGTATTTGCGCTACCCGACTTTATTTAGCTATTCTCTACGTGGATGTATTTCACGAAAAAACAACAAGCGGACGTAGAACATGTCTACTGTTCAGGCCTTCGGCTTGTTTACGATCTATGGAGATGGAACGAGTATACGGTGCTGGTGCTTGCGAAGAAAAAATCCCTTCGTGACTATGTGTATGAATTTTGGAAAAGACTTCAAAAGCAATAGGGTACCAAGAAACTTGGAAAGCCTATTTGATCGCCACATTACCGCATCGAATTTTCTACCGATCAATGAGGTTTCGAAAAAATAGTATTTCACCTATTTTTTTGCTTTAGCCATGGACAACGCCTGTGTATGTGTCAACTCAGCGACAAATATTGTCTTCGAGCTCATTTTTTCCTTTCTCTATTTCTCTTCTTCTTACTTTCTGTCGGTACGTCTCGGAGGAGTGATGTAAATCATGCTCCATTGATGAAATTATTTGTATTTGCCAATCTAGATATCTGCGCTCTCCAAGGGAACAATACATTTTGTATGTTAAAAATAATAGCATTTGGTATTTTGCTCTTCGCCTCCTGTCTACTTTTGGCTTGCTTGTACTCCGAAATCTTTTTTTTGCTCGTATCAAGTCTTCAACTCTCTCTCGATTTTGACTGAAGCTAGTGGAAATTCTGAATTAAATATGTTTTCTTCCTCTTCCTATTCCTCGATACGTTCTCTTAAACATTGGTTATCTTGAGCTAACGAAAGAAGGAAATATAAGCAGATTCTTTTTGAGTCGCTAAAAAGTTATATCGTTTTGTTTTTGCTAGGAACAAAAGCAAGATTTTGTTTTGTCAAGGATGATTGATAAATAAGATAACTCAAGATAAAGTACAAAACAAAACGATGAAAACATCGTCAGTTCTCTGACTATATAAAATAAGTAACACCAATGAGAAAGTTTAAAAGAAAAAAACTGATGCAGTTTTAGTGACATGTTCACTATTTCAAAGTAATCATGTGAGATGTATGTTCCCAAACTTTTGCTACCATTTCCTCTTGTATTGGACTCTTCTTTGTTACCGTTTCGCCCTTATCATTGATACATCTCGAGCCTTTATCCGTTCCGAGCATTCCATATATCATAAATTCGGCACAATCTTCTGGGCTAACACCTAAACCAAGTGCTAAGCCACATTTTATTGGTAGTCGAGCCCAAAATGGTAAATTATCAGCAATTGGTGTACGAACAACACCGGGAAATGCGTGCGTAAATGTTATATTCGTATTTTCTTGTTGTGAAGCCAAATAGTGTATAACAAGATCAGTAAATGATAATGCATGATTGGCAGCTGAAGAAAGTGAATAGGTATTTTCGAGTGCCATATCATTCCAATTGATTTTAGATGGATTACCATTGACACCGTCCAATACGAATAGAACTTTACTACCATTTTGTGATGATCGAAGTAGTGGAAGAAGTTCTTGAACGAATAAAACTCGACCGTAATAATGTAAAGCCAATTTATTATCAATATTTTCCGTTGTTGGTGTACGACCGGCCATTGTCAATATGCCTTGTGTTAATATTAACATGTCAACTGCACTAATTTTCTTTGTAGCGGCTCGAATTTCAGACATAAGTGATACATCAGCACGAATAAATTTTGGATTCGAACCCAATTGCGACAGTATAGCATTGGCAGCAGATTCATTCCGTCCGACAATGGTAATATTGGCCGATGGACAATGTTGAGCTATTGATAGGGCTATTCCTCGACCAATACCCGATGTACCACCAACGACGACAACATTTGGAGACGGTTTTAAAGAAGATAGAATACGAGCGTTCGAGGTCCTAGCTGCTCGTACAGCAGCGGACATTTTCAATCTAGAATTTCGATGAAAAAACGCTGTGTGGATGCTATCGAATTAACAACAAAAGCGATTATGAATCAAAACAATGTAAAGACATTTTCTCGAATTTCTTATCTCAAGTTCGTTTGTCCGCATAAAGATTTTAGTAGTACTAATTTAGCAACAGTGAGTAAGTTTTTTTATAACTGTACGCCGATTATGTTAATCATAATAACTTTTTTGAAATAGTTCATTCAACTCAGAGTCCATATTGTCGAATACTAAATCAAAGCCTGACGATTCGTAATCTTTATTCACTTACAAATGAGATTTATTCTGTTGAACTGCAGCAATCTGAGAACATTCGTTCTTTTTTTATATCGCGTATAAGAACCAACGTATTTGACGGTGTAACGATGACATGTGCAAAAAAGTTATTTGCGTTATTTTTGCAGCTTGACATTTAGGATACTTGCCAACGTGTAGTAATACAAGGAAGAAAAAGAAAAAAAGAACACGAATATTGCCTTTTCTTTTGTCTCCAACAGAGTCGATGTGCATATGTTGTTTTATGACAGAAAGAGAAAAGCAGAAGAAAAAAGAATGCAATATAGCCGCGAGATAGACAATATGATTGACTCTGACATTACAGAACAGAAAAACATCGATGAGTGTTGGAATCATGTGTCTCGCGCTAGCAAAAGAGATACTGCCCATGTAAAAATAATCGGGCGATTTAACGAAAAGACGATGTTATAAATGGTTAAAATTTTAACGGGTTAACGGAGAAAGATGTTGTCTTTTTGACCGTGTGGCAGTTTGTCCAGAATGTGGTGCCGTCTATCTCGCGGCGATATTGCATTCTTTTTTCTTCTACTTGATGACATAATCGGCGTACAGTTATAAAAAAACTTACCCACTATTGCTAAATTAGTAATGGCTTACTACTAAAATCTTTATGCGGATAAACGAACTTGAGATAAGAAATTCGAGAAAATGTCTTTACATTGTTTTGATTCATATTCGCTGTTGTTATTACTTCGATAGCACCCACACAGCGTTTTTTCTTCGAAATTCTAGATTGAAAATGTCCGCCGCTGTACGAGCAGCTACAACTTCGAAGGCACCACTGACTAACCTGTATGTATCTGATAGTTTTCTAATGCGTCAATCACTCGAGTTTTTATCGTAGATTACGGATTATATCTTAGTTTTTCTCGTACGGAAAGGAGAAATAGGAGAAAAACGCAAAAACACACAATCATCCATTTTTGCGGTTTGACCCATTTACTTTGTAAGCCCCCAAAACTCATCGGATGAAAGTTTCTTTTGTTCTCTGTTGCGCATATTTTGTAGAGAATTCTCAGTTCTACAAAAGACCATAAGTTTTACGTGAGGCCCATGCACTTAAGTTACATATTTTTGCAAAACACGCAAAAAGAACACGTTTTTCAAAATCAAATGTTTTCAGTATTCTATCTTTACCACACCATCCGTATGTCTTACTATCCATAAAAGCATTTCATTTTATTCAGAATTCTATTCTGCATCAAATGGAATGTTGCTTAAGAGAATCTGTCAAGCAACTTTTGAGAAAAAATCAAAATACTAAGGCCTGAGCTTTTCGAGAAATTTCGGCTTTCCTTTCTGTAAACAAGCCGTAGCTCAGTAACTAAGAGGTTCCGAGTTGTTAAAATTGTAATTTGGCGGTTATTCTAGATGGGCTATTAAATGAGATACCTCTCATCAAAATCCAAATTTTGAAAAGTTATGACATATAGCGAAAATGCTTGATCGGTTGATGGATCTTCTGTTAAAATCTAACAATCTGAACTAAATAAACAGTTATTTTCTCAATAAATAATATATCTTAATAGTAACGAAACCCGAGACTTATGTCTTTAACACGAGATTATTGGAAAAAAATTAATGACTACAGAATAATATCTGCCAGATCTTTAAATAATCCCGTTCAACAAATAAACTAGTCCCATATTAAGTGAACATCCTCATCTATAACTAACTTTTTACACACAGACCTACTACTGCATTTTAAAACTGTAGGTCAAACAACTAACCGATTTACGATCACATAATGTAGCTTAATGAGCACGTATGTTACGACTAGTTTATTTTATTTAAACAGAGAATGAAAATTGTATGTTACACATTCTTGTAGTTAGCGATAGGTATGCACCAGTTAAAAACTGGTATTGGGGCATCCGGAAGAATTGCTATGCATCAGTTATCATGATTTGCTCAAAGCTGTGAAACATCTCATTTTGTAGCAAAACATTTGTTCTACAAAATGCACTGTTTAAAATGATTCCCAAATTATTCCTGACAAAACTTAGTGCACCAAATCACGAAAAAAACCTGTTCAAACAGGTTTTCTTCCCGTGATTTAATGTATTTTCGAATGTTCTAAGGTTTTTTAGAAACAATTTTGGACTTTTTTTAAAAAGTACATTTTGTAGAACAAACATTTTTCTACAAAATGTATTATACACGTTAAAAGGGAATAAAGAATAAACACAGTGGATGGTAGTATATGCACACTATCTGTCTGTTTTTCTCGCTCATCTAAAGTGTCATAATGCTTTTGCCGAGGAGAAACTGAACCTGAACACGCATGAAGATTTCAGACTTGATACACTATCCAAGAAGGATTCTCTTTCGATTCCAAAACTGTCAAGAAGAAAATAGTTTAACTTTGAGACAAAAAAATAACTTTTCCTCTAGAAAATTGCTGTGTACTTACTGATGGCAATAGTCAAATAGTAAGTCTAGTTTCATTAACCATGCCAAAACAAAATAAACACAGGAAGAAAAACACTCGTTGCACTGCGTTAAAAAATGAAGAAATGAATGATCTTGCTATAATCCTATCGCGATCCCGTCACACTCTTGAAACACAAATGGAATGGGATCGCATAACGAACTTGATCAAGAACGCGATTACTATGATAAGATCGCGATTTTATTTTGCCAAGATCAGCATTTTGTCGTTACACGGGAAGAAATCGAGTTCGCGATCAAATCTCAGGAAGAATGGAACGAGAATGTCACTAGGGTACTGTAAAGAGCAATGAAAAAATGAACATAATATAAGATCACTCTTTAATTCATTTTATTATCATTATAATTTCATTTCCACTTATTTAATGTACACTTACTTTAAAAAGTAGTGATCTTTTAATACAGGTGGTCTTCCGTTTGGAATTGAGACAGAGGAACAATAAAACGGGACGTTTAAAGTCCTATACAGTACATTACGCAAAAATTTAGCTTGTTGACTCAGTCACTCAGCATGAATCAATCAGGAGAAAACCACATCGCGAGAGGCAATCAATAGTGCTGATATGAACACCATAGTGGGAGCTACTCTTAGGTCTTTGGAGACTTGGGTTTCGAGAAAACCGCTTTTTCTAGTACGAATTTAGACATGGTTTTTAGATTTATCTGGATTGTACAACATGTCTAGTTACCTTCCAAAATTCCAAGTCAAAAAAAGTCGATATTTTCGGTATCGGTATATACCGAAGTTCGGTATTTTCGGTATACCGATACCGGTGCATACCTAGCTGCTACAAGCACGAAATTAGAAGGAATAATCAAGATTTTCTTTTGATTAAGTTTGGAAGTCAACAGGCTTTTTATCTTTAATAATAAAAATATAACTCATTTGAGTTTATGTGCCGTTAATTACCATCGTATTGTAAACGAGTTGTTTTATATAGTAAAAAAGAAAATAAGAATGAAAATAAAAGGTCAATAACTTTAATTATTCATTCAAGTCTGTATATGAGCTAATCGTAACTTTTTTGTACAATTGTAAGTTTACGATATTTTTTCAATAACTTCTGTCATTGCCCACCGGTTTCGAAAATTTTTTTTTTATTTTACTCGCTGATGACGGTTCCACTACCACAGAAAAATTCGTTGCGAAATCTGGTGAATCCGCAAAGTTGTACCCATTCAAAGTCGAAAAATCCCATTTTCCGGATTATTCACCAT